CCCCTGGCTGGAGGGGGCTGTGTGAGCTGTGGCCGCACAGTGTCCCATGGTAGTTAGGGTGCCTGTGTATGTGTGACTCTGCCTGTGACTGTGTGTGACTGTCTGCCTGTAACTGAGTGTGTGACTGTGTCTGTAACTGAGTGTGTGACTGTCTGCCTGTAAATGTGTGTGTGTGGGGCTGCAGGGATTTTGTAGAAGGGGGTGGGGGTTTTGTATTGGGACAGGAGTCTTTATAAGGGGGGATAAGCAGGGGATTTGTGGAAAGGGGTTGCGGGGTTTTGTAGATGGGGCAGTACAGGATTTGTAGAAGGGGCAGGACAGAGGTTTTGTAGGAGGGGCAGGGCAGGACAAGGGTTTTGTAGGAGGGGCTGACAGCGGTTTTGCAAAGTTTACAAACTGTAAAAATAAAAGAAATAAAACCTTTAACATTTTTTACAGGTTTTTTTTTTTTTGGGGGGGGGAGGGGGGTGGGGGGAGGGTGCCAAGCACAGGATCCGCCCCGGGTGCCAAATGCTCTAGGTACGCCCCTGCCCATATTTATTCTTAGATAGGCATTTTAGTAGCCCTCTTTGTGTGATATTTTTTGTAGTCTGAGTGCCCCGCAACTATTTATTAAAGTTCATAAACGGTTATTCCGTAACTCTAGTAAAGTTGCCCCGGCCAAATATGCTGCTAAGATTTAAAAAAAAAGTAGAAATACTAAAGGGGAAGAATGAAGCTAAAAACTTATTTAGTTTGGAGAATGTTGACATGAAATGTTTATCAAATGCAGTACCACTAATGTCCACTGGGATTATCAAGAATATGTGTTTTGTTTCCAGACTCCTGTTGTCTGCTTGCTTTTCAACCTCTTCTACTGGATCACAGAGGTGTATATATATTGGAGCTGTAAAGATCCTGATTGTGGCTGAAACGTCGATCAAGTTTTAAGCAATGAAATAAAGGAAAATCGTTTTAAAGAGATCAAAAGACCGTGAGTGCTTGCCTCTTGTTCCCTATATTTGTGTGTAGTGATGTACCGAACGGTTCGCCGGCGAACGGTTCCTGGCGAACATAGCATGTTCGCGTTCGCCACGGCGTGCGAACATATGCGCGGTTCGACCCGCCCCCTATTCGTCATCATTGAGTAAACTTTGACCCTGTACCTCACAGTCAGCAGACACATTCCAGCCAATTAGCAGCACAGCCTCCCTAGCAGACCCTCCCACCTACTGGACAGCATCCATTTTAGATTCATTCTCAAGCTGCATGCTTAGTAAGAGGAGGGAAAGTGTAGCTGCTGTTCATAAGATAGGGAAAAGCATAGCTAGGTTAGGATAAGGGTATGCTTTTTTTTTATTTATTTTTTCTATCTAATGTAAATGCACTTAGTTGTCTGCCACTGCTGCCAGCTTCTGTGTCAGGCTCACGGTGCCCATTTCCCCAGTCAGTGCCACCAATTACATCTGGTGTCACAATAGCTTGGATTTAAAAACAAAAAACTTTTTTCACTGTTATAGATTGAATAGCAGTCAGTTGTCTGCCACTGCTGCCAGCTTCTGTGTCAGGCTCACAGTGCATACTGTGCCCATTTTCCCAGTCAGTGCCACCAAATACATCTGGTGTCACAATAGCTTGGATTTAAAAACAAAAAACTTTTTTCACTGTTATAGATTGAATAGCAGTCAGTTGTCTGCCACTGCTGCCAGCTTCTGTATCAGGCTCACAGTGCATACTGTGCCCATTTCCCCAGTCAGTGCCACCAATTACATCTGGTGTCACAATAGCTTGGATTTAAAAACAAAAAACTTTTTTTTACTGTTATAGATTGAATAGCAGTCAGTGTCCTTAAAGCGGGTGTGTTACGCTAACAGTGGATACGGTGACGAGTGCCACCACTTAGATCTGGTGACACAAAGCTTGTATTTAAAAAAAAACAACCACTTTTTTCACTGTTATATATTGAATAGCGGGTGTGTTACGCTAACAGTGCATACGGTGACAAGTGCCACTAATTAGATCCTGTGTCACAATAGCTTGGATTTAAAAACAAAAAACTTTTTTTACTGTTATAGATTGAATAGCAGTCAGTGTCCTTAAAGCGGGTGTGTTACGCTAACAGTGGATACGCTGACAAGTGCCACTAATTAGATCTGGTGTCACAATAGTTTGGATTTAAAAAAAAAATAATCTTTTTCACTGTTATAGATTGAATAGCAGTCAGTGTCCTTAAAGCGGGTGTGTTACGCTAACAGTGGATACGGTGACCAGTGCCACTAATTAGATCTGGTGTCACAATAGCTTGGATTTAAAAAAACAAAACTCTTTTTTCACTGTTATAGATTGAATGGCAGTTAGTGTCCTTAAAGCGGGTGTGTTACGCTAACAGTGGATACGCTGACCAGTGCCACCAATTAGATCTGGTGACACAAAGCTTGGATTTAAAAAAACAAAACACTTTTTTCACTGTTATAGATTGAATAGCAGTCAGTGTCCTTAAAGCGGGTGTGTTACGCTAACAGTGGATACGCTGACGAGTGCCACTAATTAGATCTGGTGTCACAATAGTTTGGATTTAAAAAACAAAAAACTTTTTTTCACTGTTATAGATTGAATAGCAGTCAGTGTCCTTAAAGCGGGTGTGTTACGCTAACAGTGGATACGCTGACAAGTGCCACTAATTAGATCCTGTGTCACAATAGCTTGGATTTAAAAACAAAAAACTTTTTTGCTGTTATAGATTGAATAGCAGTCAGTGTCCTTAAAGCGGGTGTGTTACGCTAACAGTGGATACGCTGACAAGTGCCACTAATTAGATCTGGTGTCACAATAGTTTGGATTTAAAAAACAAAAAACTTTTTTTCACTGTTATAGGTGGAATAGCAGTCAGTGTCCTTAAAGCGGGTGTGTTACGCTAACAGTGGATACGCTGACAAGTGCCCATAATTAGATCCTGTGTCACAATAGCTTGGATTTAAAAACAAAAAACTTTTTTTACTGTTATAGATTGAATAGCAGTCAGTGTCCTTAAAGCGGGTGTGTTACGCTAACAGCGGATGCGCTGACAAGTGCCACT